ACTGTTGATACATTCTTCAAAATATCTTCCTTTGTGTTCAACAGAAGACAGAAACTCATACCAGTTAGGAAGGACACGAGGGAGAGTGAATGATGACAGAACAATGATTTTTGGGTGTGTTTACACCTCACAGTCATACTTATTGACTCTGATTTTAATGATACAGACAGGAGGATTTTCATACGGCGTTACACTGAGAATGACATTATTTTGGGGTGAAATCTGATCTGATGAGAAGGTTTCACAGTGAAATACTCACAGTAAACAGACACCAGGTTATAAAGCGCCCAGGTGGCCCAGTGCTGACTGACCGGAGCACTGCTCTGAGGAAGGAGACGCAGGATGGGCTCGAACGACCTGCAGACGGACGACAGACAGACAGACGACAGAGAGACAGATGACAGAGAGACGACAGACAGACAGACGACAGAGAGACAGACGACAGAGAGACGACAGACAGACAGATGACAGAGAGACAGATGACAGACAGACAGACGACAGACAGACAGACAGACAGACAGACAGACAGAGAGACAGATGACAGACAGACGACAGACAGACAGATGACAGAGAGACAGATGACAGACAGACAGACGACAGAGAGACAGATGACAGAGAGACGACAGACAGACAGATGACAGACAGAGAGACAGATGACAGAGAGACAGACAGACAGACAGAGAGACAGACGACAGAGAGACAGACGACAGACAGACGACAGACAGACAGACAGACAGACGACAGAGAGACAGATAGACAGAGAGACAGACAGACGACAGAGACAGAGAGACAGACAGGTCAGTGACGAGGTTAAAAGTGTCTTTTAAACAGATGACATTGGTCTGATTTTAGATCTTAACTAGTTTCTCAGCCATTAGACAGGCAAACCTGTATTTCATAGAGAGACAGATGACAGAGAGACGACAGACAGACAGACGACAGAGAGACAGATGACAGACAGACGACAGACAGACAGATGACAGAGACAGATGACAGACAGACAGACGACAGAGAGACAGATGACAGACAGACGACAGACAGACAGACAGACGACAGAGAGACAGACAGACAGACAGACGACAGAGAGAGAGACAGACAACAGAGAGACAGACAGACGACAGACAGACAGACGACAGAGAGACGACAGACAGACAGACAGACAGACAGACAGACGACAGAGACAGACAGACAGACGACAGACAGACAGACGACAGAGAGACAGACGACAGAGACAGAGACAAATGACAGACAGACAGACAGACAGATGACAGACAGACAGATGATAGACAGATGATAGACAGACAGATGACAGACAGACAGATGATAGACAGACAGAACAGAGAGACAGACAGACGACAGAGACAGAGAGACAGACAGGTCAGTGACGAGGTTAAAAGTGTCTTTTAAACAGATGACATTGGTCTGATTTTAGATCTTAACTAGTTTCTCAGCCATTAGACAGGCAAACCTGTATTTCATTAAGATAATTTAATTAATCAAATCAATGATGATGTTAACCCTTGTGTGTCCATTTAAAAAAAAATTTACACAGAGGTACTTAAAGGATAAAAGTGTCATAAAAATATTATATATTAATATATATATTAATATTTTTCCACTTTCACTTGCATAGATTTTTTAAACCAACATCAGTTCTGATCACACCTACCAAAATTTCATGAATTTTCAAGATTTTAAGTTAGTGCCAGTTTGTTTAAATAATGCCCCTGTTGTTTTTTCATGAAAAAAACACAGAAAAAAATCATTTTGCATGTACTAAATACTACACAGAAGTTTGTTCTGGATTATTACAGTCTAGGATAAGTCAATGATTAGAAACAATATTAATTTTGATGCATTATTTTTTCTGACTTTTACCAATCACACAAACAACACCCTGATATATATACCAACAATTATAATTACACCATTTCAATTCAATTTTTAAGCAGAAAACAGAAGAAAATCAAGTATAGGACAAACGTGAAACCAAACCAAAATAGTAAAATTTTTTAAATGTTGAAGCCGTGTCAACAGAATGGAAGCCTATTAACAAAGAAAGCATGACGTTATGACAACATGCCACATTCAAAACACAATACTGCATTTTATCGGATGTTTTTGCCCCGAAGGTCCGGAGTGTCACTATTTTTGTACCTAGCATAAAAGAGATTTATGAACAGAAAAATACTAGAAATGTTATGGTCTTTGCATCAACACAAAACGAAATGTCCCCAAGGACGCTGACGTGCCTGTAGTTGATGTTGCGTCGCGAGCTGACGTCCCAGCTCTGGATGGCCGCCCACATTTTGTCCATGACGTGTGTCCTCCTGGGCTCCTCCATGGTCCAGACCTCCGGCCCGTCGAACATGATGTGTGACAGCACTCCGCAGGCGTTATAGGACACCTCGATGCCGTCCGCTTTACTGTCCAGCAGCTCACTGCGAGCAGAGCCGCGGCGTTAGACACTCACACAGCAAACACTGAGCCAATGAGGTGC